GCTTTGGAGATTTTGTTTTTGTTTGTTTGTTTTTAACCTCAGAACAATTCTATAGAATGTTGGGGAAAAAATAGGTTTGTTTTGTTCCAATTAAATTCTGTGCACATTTTTGTTTTCCTTCAGTTCATTTCTCTGAAAATTACTTCTATGTTTTCATTCAAAACAAAGATTGATACACCGCTCTGGAGAAAGAAATTGGCCAATGCCAACTCAAGCTTCAGCATCAGTAGTTCTGTGAGTAGTGTTTGTTGCTCGGTTCTTTCTGTTTCCCTCCCCTGGATGAAAAGAAAACTGTTTAGGCTTTAGTAACACAATGGCATGGTTATTACAAAATCTTTGAAATGAAAATACCTTATAAAAAGTATTTTTGACTGTGCATTGAGGCATACACCTTTGGTTCTAGCTGCCTGGAAGGCTGAGGCAGGAGAACTGCGTATTTGAGTCCCACCTGGACAACTTAATAAGACACTGTCTCAAAACAAAATTAAGAAAAATTGTAGGAGGTATAGCTCAGTGGTAGAGTACTTATTTAGCACATAAGAGGCCCAGGGTTCAATACTTGGTAGCACAGCCCCCTGGCAAAAGGACATTTATAGATCCTAGAGTTTTTAACAGGAGGAAGTGACAACATGTTGTTATCATTATTGTCCTTGGTTCTTTTTAATTTCAACCTAACAAAACACGATGCTGTGAAATTCAATATGTGATACTTCACCATCCATCTTTGAGCCTTCTGCGGAGAGAGTCTTACAGGAAGAGTAAATGAAGTATTAAAAAGGGGCTTCGTAAAGTTCTGGTGACCTAGTTAGTGGATTCGGTCAGATGCACTTCTCTGCTTCTCTCCAGTGAAAGCAGAACCAGCCAGTTCTCCAAGCTTAGTAGTCGTCGGGAACATCTAGAGATAGCCTCGTCATACTAACCTATTACTTCATGGAAAATTACCTTAAAATGTAGAACCTTGAGATAACAAACATCTGTTGTCTCGCTTAATTTCCATGAGTCATGAATCCTAGAGTGGCTTAACTGTGAGTGGCTCAGGTTTAGAAATGTAAGCAAGGATATGGTCAGTACTACAGGCGTTTAAAGGCTAATCTGCAAATGTCATATTTGCTTGCAAGTGAGCTCGCTCACATGGCCATTGAAAGGAGGCTGCACTACTTTTTATAGGACTGTTTGACTGTCCTATTAAGAAAGCTGAATTTCCCCCAAAGCAGGAGAGAACATGGTGGAAGACATAATATCTTCTATAACCTAAGGCATCTATTGTTATTTCCAACATAGACTGTTGGTCATAGAGATACTATTGTGCTGTCCAGCGTGGGAAGATACTGACCAAGGGTATAAAGATTTGAGTTTTGGGAGCTTCTTGGCAGCAACTGTAGTCTGCCTTTTGGTCTTCAGTGATCTGTCTATCCCCCATAGGTAAACTGTTCTCACTTTGTTCCATAGTAGATGTCTCTTCCCATGATACCATCACTCCAGAGTCATGTCGTCTAAACTGACTGCAGATGTATGTAAGTCTCCCAGGCATAATGTTTTAAATTAAGCTTCTCAAGTATAGCTCTGTCCATCTTAACACCAGTGTTTCCTGGACCCCCAGATACATTTGCAGGATTGGCTCAATAGAATTGGAACAGACAATCTGTTCCAAAGGAAGAGAGGAAGCTCTGGGTGGCTACTGGTCCATCAGGATCCTTAAGCCCAGTTGCATACATCTTGGAATTTCTTTGGTTAGGGCTTTCAGGTCTATTCCTGTGTGGGAAGAACTTTCCACAGTTCTTGAGTTCGCCTGTTGGACTCTTAATTCTTTTCCCATTTAAAGTAATATATGTTTAAGAGGCTGGAGAGATAGCTCTGTGGTTAAGAGCACTGGCTACTCTTCCAGAGGTCCTGAGTTCGGTTCCTAGCAACCACATGGTAGCTCACAACTATCTCTAGTGAGGTCTGATGGCATAATGGTGTACATGCATCTAGAGCACTCATATACATAAAATAAATTAATTAACTTTGGAAAAAGTAATATATGTTTGAAACTGTATAGTATTGTCACTTTGATTTCTAACAATAGAATCTAGGAGTTCTAAATTCCACTTTAAGTTTTACTCTCTCTATACTTGCTTGTATAAAGACTTAAAAGTAAGTCTCCTATAAATATAATTCAGTTTATTCTGTTACACAGAATCCATACCTACAAATCTTTTCAAAACAAACCCATGTCTTCTGAAACTGTCCCTCTACTGAAGCTGCAGAGGCACACACCCTGGGGCATCTTTGAATCCTATTTTTGTCGGAGTGACTCTCTGAATCCCCCGCTATGGACAGTTTTGAGTTCTAAATAAAGGATTGTTCAGCCATACCCTCACCCCTCAGTGATGCTTGCAACATCATCTTGGACTTTATCTTTGTCTGGAAGCCATGTCTTTATTTTAGCATTGTTTGCCACCCTTAACTGGAGATTTTCAAACTAGGTACTTTTTTTTTGAAGAGTTCTTCCTTCGGATGAGCTCTTCCCTTTCACAGTTGTGAAGATATCAGGCAGTACCGTCAACACTACACCGGGAAATGACTTTGGCTACAACAGCCAATCGATTAGGCACACTTTCTGTTTTCCACATCACTGTAGGTGACAGTGTCACCAAGCTCCTGTCTCTGTATAACAAACACCACTCCTAGTTTCCAATAGCATCTTCTCTTTAAGCTCTCTCCTGTAGCTATCTCAAAGACCATTTGGATCTGACCAGCAGTTTCTTCAAGGTTCCAGTTTTTTGCTAATATTCACCTCAAGGTCCTGCTAGCTTCTTCCTGGTGCCCAAGTTCAAAGCCATTCCAATTTTAGAGTTTTATTACAGAAGAGCATCGCTGAAATAAAATCTGTACTCATGATCTATTGCTGCATAACAGTTACTTCAAAACTTTGAATCTTCTTCAGGCTGCTCGGCTCCCTTGGCACTGGCCTTGTCTTCTCAAGTGGTTAACAACAGCTGTATGGCATCTATCTCAAGATGCTCAGCAGGCAGATGTGGAGGACAGGGTACTTGGCAGCTTCCTCTCTTGCAAATTCATGTGAGAGTCTCAGAAATAAATGATACATTTCTAAATAGCAAGTGTGTGTTATTATGTGACTCTTAGGTCTTAAGCCTTTAAACATTTTTGTCCCTGGGGCTCTTCCTCTGACTCCCTATGTCTCTCTGGTCCTGGGGACCTCCATTAAAATAATTCAGACAAAACGCTAGGTGGAGTTTATTACGGAGAAAAGTAGAGCCCTCTCAAGGGGTGAGAATGGACAGTGGCCAAAGGGAACATTGCAGGGCAATACACACTCACTTGTAAGGGGTGACGGTTGGGAGAGAGCCAAAGAGAACATTATGCTCATCTACATTTTTGGCAGTTTTTAGCCTATTTCTGAAGTCTCTCGAACAGACAACTTTTTCTGTGGTGTGGGTTTCCTATCCAGGTGATTGACAGGTCCACTTGGATTGATTCTTAAAGGAGGAAAACAATGGTAACTCCCAGAAAGCCTGCTGCTAAACAGGAATTTCACAGAACTTGGTTATCTATTAATGACCTCCCAAGAAGTTTAGAATACCAGGTCTCTAACTAGAGCCAGAGATACAGCTTGGATCTAATTCTTTTGACCTGTAATCAGTCTCACAGTTTGGGTTCTTTGTTTTACAAGCTGCTTATTTTGAGGTAGAGGTCCATCCATCCAAACCTGCTAATATCTAGCTACCTAAGAATGTGAACTTCATACAAATGAGGAAACTTAAATTCTGGGAAGAAAACAAAACATTCACACACACACACACACACACACACACACACACACACACACACACACACAC